GTCAAGGAGCTCTACGCCAAAATCGCGGAGGTCTTCGGCATCTCTCCCACCGAGGTGAGGGGATGTGTGCCTCGGGGGGCACTGGTTCTCCTGTGGGTCCCCAGCTGGGCGCAAGTGTAGTCCCCAAAATGTTCTGGAAAAAGGTGGTGTAGCCTCAGGGGTGTAGGAGCTCCTCTGGGGAAGGGTTAGGGGGGGGCTCTGTGCCCCAGTTTCCCCCTGCATACAGGCAGGGATGTGATGCTGTCTGTTCCTGGCTCATTCCAGCTGCATGGAGCAACAGGAAGGTGCACAGGGATGGGGCAGTGCAGAGCCGTGGGCTGCAGCAGCTCCTCCAGGGATGGACTGGGGGAGGGGGCTCTGTGCCTCAGTTTCCCCCTGCATACAGGAGTCAGGGCTTGGGGCAGTGCAGAGCCGTGGGCTGCAGCAGCTCCTCCAGGGATGGACTGGGGGAGGGGGCTCTGTGCCTCAGTTTCCCCCTGCATACAGGCAGGGAGTCAGGGCTGTCTGTTCCTGGCTCGTTCCAGCTGCATGGAGCAACAGGAAGGTGCACAGGGATGGATGTGGCAGTGTGGGGTTTCTAGGCAGTGTGGGGGTCCCTTCATTGCTCTAGCTGTGCCCATACCTGACCAGATTCCCCCATGGCTGTTCCCTGCCCTGACACCCTCACCCTGCTGGGGCATCCCCAGCCCCTGCTGATGGGTTTCCCTGGTGCAGATCCTCTTCTGCACGCTCAACACGCACAAAGTGGACATGCAGAAGCTGCTGGGGGGACAGATCGGACTCGAGGACTTCATCTTCGCCCACGTCCGTGGTGAGACCAAGGAGGTGGAGGTGACCAAGACAGAGGATGCACTTGGCCTCACCATCACAGACAATGGGGCTGGCTATGCCTTCATCAAGGTGAACCCCCTGGGGGCTGTGCCAGGGCTGTGTCCCTGTGGGTGACATCCCCTGCTGCACCCCCTCCCTGGGACCAGGCTCCTCCCTGGCTGGTCCACCAGGGTTCACCCTCACCCTGGGGCTCTCCCCTGCCATGGGGAGGTTGGGAGGACCTTCCCTGCTTGATTTGGCTACTAAAGACCCAGAATTGATGATCCTTGTGGATCCCTTCCAGCTCTGAATATTCTGTGATTCTCTGAAGGCCGTGGGAGCACGGAGGTGTTTGTGTGTGGGGTGGGCTGGGGGCCGCATCTGACTGTCCCATTGCCCCACCCTGTCCCTGTGTGTCCCTGTCCCCCTCTGTGGGCCCCAGAGGATCAAGGAGGGGAGCATCATCAACCGGCTGCAGACAGTGTGTGTGGGGGACAGCATCGAGGCCATCAACGACCACAGCATCGTGGGCTGTCGGCACTACGAGGTGGCACGGATGCTGCGGGA